ATAAGCTGTAGTTGTTCTGGTGACTATAGTGTCCCTTTAACTATATTCATTGTCAGCCAGTCCACACACGTTTGTTCCCATACATCCCACTTAAGTTTCCATACTTAAGTAAGAGTATGTGAAAAGTAGTTAGGTTTGCCACCTTTCTTGGAAAAAAAGGAGTGACATAAGAGAAAATGCTGTAAAATCACCAAAAAACTACTTAGTTTGATTCTGCTGTATAGATGGATTCCTCCCAGTGCTCCTATGTCTCCCAGTGTCCTCATGACTCAGTGCCCCCATGTGTCGATTACTCCAGGTCTCAGTGTTCCTATGTATCAGTGTCTCAGTGCCCCATGTCTCCCAGTGTCATGTCCCCAGGTCTCCCAGTGATCCTATGTATCACAGTGTCTCAATGCCCCATGTCTAACCGTGTGTCCCTATGTATCCCAGGGTCCCCATGTCACTAGGACATTAGGAAGATGGGGAGACCTCGGGACACGGTGAGACCTAGGGACACGGAGACACAAGTGACACTGGGAGACTAGGGGACTCTGGCTGGGACACATGGGGACAATGGGAAAATAGGGGACACTTGAAGACATGGGGACACAGACACCAGGGACAAAGACACAAGAGACACTGGCTGGGGGACATAGGGACATTGAGACATGGGGGCACTGGGAGACATGGGGACACTGAGACACCAGGACCACAGACACTAGGGACACTAGCTTGGAGACATGGGGACATTGTGACACTTGAGGCAATGAGAGACATGGAGGCACTAGGAGACATGGGGACAGTGAGAGACTGGGAGACTAGGGGGCACTGAGACACCAGGACCACAGACACTAGGGACACTAGCTTGGAGACATGGGGACATTGTGACACTTGAGGCAATGAGAGACATGGAGGCACTAGGAGACATGGGGACAGTGAGACTGGGAGACTAGGGGGCACTGAGACACCAGGGACACTGGCTGGGAGACATGGGGACACTGTGTCCCCATGTGTCTGTGTCATAATATCTCCCAATGTCCCTTAGTGTCTCAGTGTCTGCCATAATGTCTCCCAATGTCCCTTAGTGTCTCAGTGTCTGCCATAATGTCTCCCAATGTCCCTTAGTGTCTCAGCGTCTGCCATAATGTCTCCCAATGTCCCTTAGTGTCTCAGTGTCTGCCATAATGTCTCCCAATGTCCCTTAGTGTCTCATTGTCTGCCATAATGTTTCCCAGTGTCCCTTAGTGTCTCAGTGTCTGCTATAATGTCTCCCAGTGTCCCTTAGTGTCTCATTGTCTGCCATAATATCTCCCAATGTCCCTTAGTGTCTCATTGTCTGCCATAATGTCTCCCAGTGTCCCTTAGTGTCTCAGTGTCTGCCATAATGTCTCCCAATGTCCCTTAGTGTCCCAGTGTCTGCCATAATGTCTCCCAGTGTCCCTTAGTGTCTCAGTGTCTGCCATAATGTCTCCCAGTGTCCCTTAGTGTCTCAGTGTCTGCCATAATGTCTCCCAATGTCTCTTAGTGTCTCAGTGTCTGCCATAATGTCTCCCAGTGTCCCTTAATGTCTCAGTGTCTGCCATATCTCCCAATGCCCCTTAGTGTCTCAGTGTCTGCCATAATGTCTCCCAGTGTCCCTTAGTGTCTCAGTGTCTGCCATAATGTCTCCCAATGTCCCTTAGTGTCTCAGTGTCTGCCATAATGTCTCCCAGTGTCCCTTAGTGTCTCAGTGTCTGCCATAATGTCTCCCAGTGTCCCTTAGTGTCTCAGTGTCTGCCATATCTCCCAATGTCCCTTAGTGTCTCAGTGTCTGCCATAATGTCTCCCAGTGCCCCTTAGTGTCTCATTGTCTGCCATAATGTCTCCCAGTGTCTCTTAGTATCTCAGTGTCTGCCATAATGTCTCCTGTGTCCCTTAGTGTCTCAGTGTCTGCCATAATGTCTCCCAGTGTCCCTTAGTGTCTCAGTGTCCGCCATAATGTCTCCCAGTGTCCCTTAGTGTCTCAGTGTCTGCCATAATATCTCCCAATGTCCCTTAGTGTCTCAGTGTCTGCCATAATGTCTCCCAATGTCCCTTAGTGTCTCAGTGTCTGCCATAATATCTCCCAGTGCTTAGTGTTCCCAGTGTCTGCCATGTTCTCCCAGTGCCCCCTTAGTGTCTCAGTGTTCGCTTGTCTCCCAATGTCCCTTATGTCTCTGTGTCTGCCATACGTCTCCCAGTGTCCCTAGTGTCTCAGTGTCCGCCATAATGTCTCCCAGTGCCCCTTAGTGTCTCAGTGTCTGCCATAATGTCTCCCAGTGCCCCTTAGTGTCTCAGTGTCCGCCATAATGTCTCCCAGTGCCCCTTATTGTCTCAGTGTCTGCCATAATGTCTCCCAATGTCCCTTAGTGTCTCAGTGTCTGCCATAATGTCTCCCAGTGTCCCTTAGTGTCTCAGTGTCTGCCATAATGTCTCCCAATGTCCCTTAGTGTCTCAGTGTCTGCCATAATGTCTCCCATGTCCCTTAGTGTCTCAGTGTCTGCCATAATGTCTCCCAGTGTCCCTTAGTGTCTCAGTGTCTGCCATAATGTCTCCCAATGTCCCTTAGTGTCTCATTGTCTGCCATAATGTTTCCCAATGTCTCTTAGTGTCTCAGTGTCTGCCATAATGTCTCCCAATGTCCCTTAGTGTCTCAGTGTCTGCCATAATGCCTCCCAATGTCCCTTAGTGTCCCAGTGTCTGCCATAATGTTTCTCAATGTCCCTTAGTGTCTCAGTGTCTGCCATGTCTCCCAGTGTCCCTTGGTGTCTCAGTGTCTGCCATAATGTCTCCCAATGTCCCTTAGTGTCTCAGTGTCTGCCATAATGTCTCCCAGTGTCCCTTAGTGTCTCAGTGTCTGCCATAATGTCTCCCAAGTGTCCAGTGTCTGCCATAGTCCCTTAGTGTCTCAGTGTCTGCCATAATGTCTCCCAATGTCCCTTAGTGTCTCAGTGTCTGCCATAATGTCTCCCAGTGTCCCTTAGTGTCTCAGTGTCTGCCATAATGTCTCCCAATGTCCCTTAGTGTCCCAGTGTCTGCCATAATGTCTCCCAATGTCCCTTAGTGTCCCAATGTCCCTTAGTGTCCCAATGTCCCTTAGTGTCTCAGTGTCTGCCATAATGTCTCCCAGTGTCCCTTAGTGTCCCAGTATCTGCCACAATTTCTCCCAGTGTCCCTTAGTGCCTCAGTATCTGCCATAATGTCTCCCAGTGTCCCTTAGTGTCTCAGTGTCTGCCATAATGTCTCCCAGTGTCCCTTAGTGTCTCAGTGTCTGCCATAATGTCTCCCAGTGTCCCTTAGTGTCTCAGTGTCTGCCATAATGTCTCCCAGTGTCCCTTAGTGTCTCAGTGTCTGCCATAATGTCTCCCAGTGTCCCTTAGTGTCTCAGTGTCTGCCATAATGTCTCCCAATGTCCCTTAGTGTCTCAGTGTCTGCCATAATGTTTCCCAGTGTCCCTTAGTGTCTCAGTGTCTGCCATAATGTCTCCCAGTGTCCCTTAGTGTCTCAGTGTCTGCCATAATGTCTCCCAATGTCCCTTAGTGTCTCTGTGTCTGCCATAATGTCTCCCAGTGTCCCTTAGTGTCTCAGTGTCTGCCATAATGTCTCCCAATGTCCCTTAGTGTCTCAGTGTCTGCCATAATGTCTCCCAATGTCCCTTAGTGTCTCAGTGTCTGCCATAATGTCTCCCAATGTCCCTTAGTGTCTCAGTGTCTGCCATAATGTCTCCCAATGTCCCTTAGTGTCTCAGTGTCTGCCATAATGTCTCCCAATGTCCCTTAGTGTCTCAGTGTCTGCCATAATATCTCCCAATGTCCCTTAGTGTCTCAGTGTCTGCCATAATGTCTCCCAATGTCCCTTAGTGTCTCAGTGTCTGCCATAATGTCTCCCAATGTCCCTTAGTGTCTCAGTGCCTGCCATAATGTCTCCCAGTGTCCCTTAGTGTCTCAGTGCCTGCCATAATGTCTCCCAGTGTCCCTTAGTGTCTCAGTGCCTGCCATAATGTCTCCCAGTGTCCCTTAGTGTCTCAGTGTCTGCCATAATGTCTCCCAGTGTCCCTTAGTGTCTCAGTGTCTGCCATAATGTCTCCCAATGCCCCTTAGTGTCCCAGTGTATGTCTCCTTGCAGCCTTTCCCCCCATCCCTTACTTCCCTGAGCTGTAGGCTGTCTCTGCAGGGTGGGAGTTGCTGTCTGGACTCTCTGTAGCTGCACCCCTGCAGGGAGGGATATGCTGGAACTTCCTATCCCTGCCTGTCTCCACACACATTTTTTTTTAAATCAATGGGCCTATTCCATGGGCTTGGGCCTGGAGCTGCAGCTCCATCAGCCCCTATGTTAATCCAGCCCTGCCTAGGGGGCAATGTAAACATTGCATTTCCTCTGAAAAGGCAGTGTTTACTGAAACTGAAAGGAATGAGGATATTCACCAGAACAAATACAATAAGTTGTAGTTGTTCTGGTGACTAAAGTGTCCTTTTACATTGCTTGTATCATAAACCATCCACAGATGGTTGAAAATGTCTGCAATTCTGTATCAGAAAGGGTGAAAGAGAACAAGATCTTTTGAATATCTCATTAATCTTTTGGAGTAATACATTTCAGGTAAAATTAAGACTTGTATCCAATTGATGAACACAAATAGATTGGTACTCGGTGCAAATTGCAAACATAAAACTAGTGTGATATGTGTTCTGAACATTCCCAAATTAGAATTCTTAGGCAGATATACTTTTATATAGTTAATGTGGCTCATATCTAATACTTGCCTGCAAAATAAATGACACTGGACATTACTAAAATGGTTATTTTGATAATGGACTCTAACTGGCTTCATAACTTTAACTAATTTGCCAACGGTTATGAGTTTTCTTTTATGATCTCAAGTCTAGTTTTTGTGTGGCCTACATCATTAAATAAAATTAATATCCATATCTCTATGTTGTTTTTTAATCACGCACCATGCTTATATGCAATGCAATATACTATGTTTATTAGGCACTTCATATTAATGTGGATACAGTGACAGTGTTAATTTACACAGTGATGCTGTAACAAGCTTTGCATGTAATGTCTGCCTGTCTTTTCTAAATAGGCACAGACGCTGGCGGACAATACAACGTACATTCAGTTACATAAAGTTCTAAGTTAACACTCTGTTCCTCAACCACAAAAGCATGTACCTAATGGCATTCTCTGATCTAGCTCAAATTACATCCAGCAGTATACAGTAAATTGCGGAACACATTTTTAGCAAGATACAAGAGCTGACAGCAATTCTCTTCCATTCTCCTTCTTTTGGCAGACAACTAATAGCAGGCATCCATATTCAAAAACAACTGAAGTCAAAAAAATACTATTAAGAATGACATTTTGTAGCTGAAATTCAGACCTTTGGCTCTTATTGTTTTGTGGTCTCTGTTGGACATCTCAATTGAACTGCAACTCAAATGACTGTCATCCAACAAGGTGGAGTCTGAGACTTGAAATCAAAGGGTTTAAGCACAACCTACTGACCAATCTTGCCCTAATTCAGTGCAGATCTCTCTATGCCTTTACACATTGGGCAGGGAATAAAATTGTTGCGTTTACTTTGAGACTGAAAATGGACCAATTTAGCAAACTGAATGTAAAAAGTCTTCTTGTGATGTAGAAATTGTTATTACTGTAAAGATGAATGTAACGGTAAGTTATAGTTATTATCCACCTGACTGATGGCAAGAACAATAAAATGTGACCCAATGACTCTACAATAAGACAAGCAATATTGAAAAGCAATGTTTTGTTATATGCAAAAACAGAAAAGATAATATATACTGAGCCAAACCTTTTTCGTAGGACACTTTGCCACTTTCTACCACTAAATCATCCCATCCTTAAGACTGTGTTAACCTTTTTTTGGATATTAAAGTACAACTTTAATTTTTAAAAGATTTACAAAGACTTTCTCTAATGAGTTGACTTATAATCAGTTATGCTGTAATTGCTCTTCAAACGATTTGACTTAAAATTATTCTATTCGCTATTGAGATAATACTGAGCCTTTTATATGAAATATTGAAATAGTCTATTTTTTTTAAAAGATGTGGATTTTGATGTCCATTCAGGTATCCATTTCTGGTGATAAAAATTTAATGTCCATCTTGGAATGTTTCATCTTCCTCATTGTATCGTATAGTACAATACTTGTTTCTGATTGATTGTTTTTTATCTACTGAATCCTATTCTTCAATAAAATTGCACTGACTACACATCCAGTGTCTTCATTTTGTTCTCTTTCAGCTGCCTGGAGCTGTTCTTAATCACAGTCATAAACCCTGGTAGCTTCATCTCACAGCATCACATTGACATCCACACAATTGTTGGTGGGAATGATATTACGCTTAAACATAAACATCTTCTTCAACTCACTACAGAATCGATCATGCAGCCAGGCATATAAGAAAGGGTTGCAGCAGGAGGAACTCATGGCAAACCAGTGGCAGAAAAGTTGAATCAGCAGAAAGTAATGCTTGTTGATAAGATTGATGTCAATATCCCGAATAATGTTGAAAACATGAATGGGGAGCCAGCAGATCCCAAAGACTGTTACCACCAGGACAATAAGCCTGAATATTTTTCTTTTGCGGAGCCTGTCATATTCAGCCTGACTCTGGGTGGGGTGGCCAGGGACCACCCTGTTCTTCAGCTTGACAGTAATGCAGATATAGGATAAGGATACTGCCGATAAAGGTAGGATGTAAGTAATTATCAGGGTGCTGTAAGCATAGGCCAGCCTCTCAGTTTCTTTGCCTACCCAAAATTCTTCACATATGGTAAAACCTTCCTGCTGGAATTCTATATGATAGGTATGTACAATTGCAGGTCCTACCAAGGCACAGGAAAGAAGCCAGATACCACCAAGGACATAGACACATGTTGTAACAGATATCCTTTTCTTAAATGGATGAACTGTTGCATAGTATCTGGAAAAAAATGTAGAGACAAAAACAGGACAATTGTTAGTCTTCAAAGGGTCACAGTGCTATTTCTTTCACTGATATTCACATTTCAATACCACTTAAGCGCTTGTAGACAAGTTTGGTTGTAATAATATGCCAATACAAATAAAAACTGTTAGTAAAACACGTTTCTTATGAATTACCAAAAGCTACTTCTTTTTTTTTAGTAAAGATATATTGCTGGGTTTGGTGGTAGAGTGTGGAGGTTGAGAGCAGCAGTCTTTTTTATTTGGATTTAATACTATCCATTCCTCTTCTTTAGACAAGATTATATATTTTTGCCATTTTGTTCATTAAATATATGTATTTTAATTATACAAAGTAGTTAATACTTCCCATGTTTAAAAACTCTCTCATAATGTTCATACAAAGAAAACACATTATGATGAACTATGCCTAGATATGTGAATGGGTCCTTTGCACACACAAGCCATCTACAAGCATTGCACAGAGGATTTTCTTTCAAATAAAATTGTGTAGGTATCAGCCTGCTGAGGTAATAATGCTGCAGTTGGACTAGTAATGATTGGGCAGAAAAGAAATGTGTTATTACCTTAGAATGGCATCTGTTTGCTTTTATTCAAGCTTTATTGAATTTGGAAGCTCTATGCACACAATGATAAATAAATGTAAGACCGCAATGAAAAGCAATACAAGCAGTAATTGCACAGCATGCTAAAACTTTCATTACCAATAAAGCTGGCATTTGTGTTGGATTTGCTCAGGGTGAATGAGTAGATTGCAGATACAGCTTATGGGAAAGTGATGGCAAACATTTGGCGGTGCTACAATGGCTGCCTGAGATTTAGCGCTGTATTTTCTGTGAGGCAGAAAAGGCATTTGACTTGGGTGGCACTTTAAGGGGGGTGGCAAAAAAAGCCTCCCCCCCAAATGCCCTGGCAAATACCTTGCTAGCCTCTTGTCCTGGGGGACCTGAGAGCTGGCTGGCTGGCCACCTCAGGGCTCCCAGAGACTGGCATCTCTTCAGGAGGAGGTGGGCGGTGAGAGAGCACTGTCGCCTGAGCTCTACCTGCTCAGCTCCGGCCCCGGCATCACTAAGAGGTGCACAAGGGAGCTGAGCAAGAGGATTTGAGCTCCCTCGCCACCTGCCTCCTCCGTTCACCTGCCTGCCCAACTGCCCGCGCCTGCCGAATCAGCCACACTGGACCCAATGGGGGAACATTACACTCCAGCAACTTAAAAAGTGAGTAAAAAAAATTGTGAGTGTGTTTGTATAAGTTAGTGTGTTGCCACTTTGTTAGTGTGTCTGTTAGTGAGCGTGTGTGTGTCTGTTAGTGATAGTGTGTGTGTCTGTCACTAAGAGTGTGTGTGTCTGTCATTGAGAGTGTATGTGTGTCTGTCAGTGTGTGTGTATCTGTCACTGAGAGTGTGTGTCTGTCAGTGTGTGTATGTGTGTATGCGTGTCGGTCAGTGTGTGTATGCGTGTCTGTCAGTGAATGTATGCATGTTTCAGCGTGTCTGTCAGTGTATGTATGCGTGTCTGACACTGAGAGTATGTCTGTCAGTGAATGTACATGTCTGTCAGTCTATCTGTTAGTGAATGTGTGTGTCTGACACTGAGTGTATATATGACTGTCAGTGAGTGTGTATGTATGTTTGTCAGTGTGTATCTGTCAGTGAGTATAAGTGTGTTTCAGTGTGTGTGTCTGATACTGAGTGAGAGTTCGTGTGTCAGTGAGGGTGTATGTGTCTGTCCGTGAATGCATGTCTGTCAGCTAGTGTATATGTGTGTCTGTAGGTGAGTGTGTGTGTAATTGTGAATGAGTGAGTGTTTATGTCTGTTAATGTGTATGTTTCAGTGTGTGTTGAAAGTGTGTGTTGGTTAAACAGTGTGTGTGACAATGACTGTGTATCTGTAAGTGAGTGTACGTCAGTGCATGTATCAGTGAGGGCGTGTGTCTGTCAGGAAGAGAAATTTGGAGGGGGTGCCCAAGTTTTGTCATGCCTAGGGCGGCACAAAACCAGAATACACCACTGCTGAGAATCATGAAATGCAAACCACATCAAATGATCTGTCAAATGCCTCTACAACTGGAAGAGACAACCAATAGGAACCAGCAGTTGTGGACTCTCAGTCCTATCGTACAGTGTCATCCACAATAAATTATTTCTGTCAGTGGATAAGACTATAATGTATCTATCTATCTACAACTGCAAACAGTTGGCTCTCATTTTTGCTTAAATGACCACTATAGTCGCCAGAACAACTACAGCTTATTTTAGTTGATCTGGTGAGTATTGTCAGTCCCTGCAGATATTTCAGAGAAAAGGCAGTGTGACAAATTGAACCTCGCCACGGGTTCTTGAAGGGGCCTGCTGGCCGGCCTCTTGCCTCAGGACTGTGGCCCCTGCAATTGACCATGGCTAATATACTTTAAAAATGCTCTGTTCGTGCCTTTAGACTTATATGGTTCGGTATATGGGGCTTACCGAACGTATAAGGAGTATTGTTTTCGTGTACCGAACCAACTCCCGAATTCTTGGACCACTCGTGGGAAACGTGTGCTGCTTATTAAACTTATTGACCTCGTTATCTGCATCTTTAGCCGTGAAGACATAGAGCGGTGTTTGGCCGTCGAGTGCATGGAGCTCAAATCAGACACGCGAATACCACTAGAACTTCCACTTCCATCGAAGTTCGGTAAGACGTGTGAGAATTGAATGGCGTTCGATGGGAGAAAGCTCCTGAACGAAGGACATAGACTAAGCATACCGATGAACCGCCAATTTCGGTACTTTTACTGTAGTTTATAGAAACATAGAAACATAGAATGTGACGGCAGATAAGAACCATTCGGCCCATCTAGTCTGCCCAATTTTCTAAATTCTTTCATTAGTCCCTAGCCTTATCTTATAGTTAGGATAGCCTTATGCCTATCCCACGCATGCTCAAACTCCTTTACTGTGTTATGCTCCCGAAAGAGACCGACCACACAGCCTGATTTCATGGAACTCTTTTGGGCAGGAGCCTCGTGTGCGGTCGGTCAAATTATGACTTCCATGGAAATTCTGGACCCCTGAACCGATCTGGGTGATATTTGGATATGTTGGTCCCCCAGATTGGGGCTATCAGGGGATATGTGCTTTGGGGGCACTTTAGGGTTGTTAAAATTTATGTTTCTGTGCCTGGAGATAATTGAGTTTAGTACAGTTCCTGTATCAATTATCTCCCAGGCACAAGGGATGGATTTATCCTGTTTTGTGTGGGAGTGTCCTGGACCTGAGAGCCAATGTAATTACAGTGTGTACTTTGCCATAGTCCCCTCTCAGGTCCAGTTGAGAATGCCCCTGGAATATGTCACGGTAAAGCCCTTGCATGGGGACTTGCATATAAACCGACCAGTTAGGCTGATGTTTGGGTATACGTCTGATTGCTTGGAGAATTTACTTGAATACTGCAAATCAACACTCGAACTGCGAACTATAATCACTCAGCCTTTAGCAGTTCGGGAGGAACCGAAATCTGGTATCTGAAATAACAGGCAGTGTTTAGGTGTGCCTAGGAACTCCTCTAGTGGCCACTCCTCTGATAGCTACTAGAGGTGCTTCCTGGGTCAGTGCTGCACAGTGTGCAACACTGCCATGCAGAGCGTGGAGATGCTGAATGATCCCCATTTAGGTGATGCTGATTGGCTAGGGCGGCGTTTGGATCTGCCCCTGCCCTGCCTCTTAGGCTGAGATCATCACAATTCACAATTTCAGCTAATCCAATGCCTTTCTGCAGGAAAGCATAGTGATTGGCTGAGATCATCACTTCTGATGATGTCAGCAAAGAAGGTGGATGGGTGGCGGGGGCAGCACCGGCGGACCCACACAGCACTGGAAAAAAGGTGAGTTATTTTACTTACTTAAGGAGGGCAAAGGGGGGAAAGGGACCCAAGTGTGTTTTTAACACTATAGGGTCGGGAATACATGTTTGTATTCCTGACCCTATAGTGTTCCTTTAATTTATATATAATTGTATTTCCACCATCTTTATAGTTTGTATCATATAAAAATAATCTACATGTTTTCATCTGCAGTCTCGATTTATGAATTACAGCAATAAATAAACAAAAATATCCTATTATCAGCCAGATTAATGCCCGGAGGATGATTTAGTCAAGATGTGAAAGCAATGCATGGATACCCAGAGTAATATTCAGACATATGAAGGATATGTAAAAAAAACTGTCAATTTTGATTTCTTTTTAACGAATCAATGAATCAAATTACAGTTTGACTAAAGTGCAGACATTTTCTCATGTTTCTTCAATGTGAAATTCAAACTGATGAATAGTCATTAACTTACATAGCAATATGTCAACTGTTAAGCCCATGGGATACAAATACATTGGAAATGAAGTATAATGCTGCCAAAGAATTTCACTACACGATATTAACGAAAAAGACAAAGGTTACATTTAAAATAGAATAAACCCTTAAGGACCTCTGATAAAAATATTTTTTTTTCTAACAAAGCAGTCTTTTAAGAGTTGATATAGATTATGACCCATTAATTTGATGATTACAGTAGATAACTATATAGAACAACAACTGCAAAATAAGCATGCCACACTAACACAAGCTCTTTAGGGATCAGACTGTAACCTTTAATGGGAATATGAATGTGGTATTTAAGGGGTTAATATTTCACAAATAGTTTATTGTTTTACATAATTTTAACCTGGATGAACAGTTTAAATAAGCAAAGCAAAAAGAGAAGTCAATAGTATACTTTAGAAGAATATATGTTATTAATTGCACATCATTTGTGACCAATGCAATATAAATAAATAAAAATTAAAAGGAAATTCTATATTAAAAAAATATATATTTTATTGCACTTAAAGGACCACTCTAGGCACCCAGACCACTTCATGATAGAAAGTAGTAGGCAGTACCGGTGTAGCGCTTATGTGCAGAATTGAATATGAAAAAAGTTTACCCAATTTTTCCTTCTATGTTAATCAATTATTTCTTGTTAACCTTAAGGTAAAACAAAGAAAAATACATAACATAGTGCAGATTGTATGTACATTGATGAAAATAAATTTAAAGTAAGGGCCAAATGGCAACTCACAATTTTCTGAGCTATAAATCTAGTTCAGAATTTAGGCGCTTTAGGATCCGTATAGGCGACCCTCTCCCTTCTTCTCCTTTCTTTAATCCAGTCCTATATGGATACAGGAGGGGGTATATAGTGTAGTATAGTTGGTATTATTATGAGTATTTAAAGATAGTAAATGAGGTACTCACAAACCCAGAGCCAGTCTATAGGCTCACTTCACTGCGCATATGTGGTTTAAGGACCACACTCCTTCTTTATATTAGCAGGAAAAAAGCCATAAGTGTGTCAAAAAATATATATCATTTATTAGCTATAAAAATTATTACACATTATAAAAATACCTATAAAAATATATATATATGAAAAAATAAAACACTTATAAGGCTAAAGAAAAAGTCCAATAAAAATCCAAAATGGAGTTTTCAGTGCTCACTTCTCTTTCCAGAACGCGTTTCGCCGGATGGCTTCTTCGGCTGGTTAAATTCTGTGATGTTTTCCTGGACTTCCTTTCCTGCTTTAAATACCCTTCTTCGTTTGTGAAAACAGCTGTTTATGCTTGGATTTTCGCGGGTATTCTCCATGGTAGCGGAGATACCCTGCCTCCTTCTGATCTCTTCCTGTTTCCTCTTTCTCGGCCGATACGTCACTTCCGGTTTCGGCAGTTTTCATGGCCATGCGTTCCACAGTGCGTTCCACTGTGGTTATTGCGATCTAGTCCAATATCTCTCAGTCACAGGCATTGAAAATGAATTAAAAGACATATAAACAATTGTTTCATTACTAAATTGGCATATTCTTTTCACATTAATCTGTTTTATACGGACAATTCTTATTTTCATAGATATAAAAGATTATTTGTGTGTAATATTTAACTTAGTATGTTCTCTTGCAATTGTTAATTCATTCAGACTCATTCTTAGAATTCTATATTAATAAAAAACAATTTCCATACATTTGCCATTACAGAGGGATAAAACTTAGAAGATGAAAGATAAAAAATATATATAGTGATGTAACTTAAAAAGTGAAAGATAGAAAAAGGTATAATTACCGTAAGACCATATTCAAATTGATAAAAAGGTTTTTTTTTATTAAAATAATCTATTTTTATATCAATATAAAATCTTGGTACAGTATGGAACAGATTTAATCTTTATTTTTAAAATTAGAGGAGGAAATGGCACATTTCAAAGTCTGCATTCAAACCATTTGGAATCAGACTATTTAATTTGAATATCCATTCCATCTCTATCTTACTTAATTTTTGATTAAAGTCTCCTCCCCTCCAATCTTTAGTTACTTTCTTAATTCCTAAAAACATAGTTCCTTTTAATTCACAGTCATGGTAATTTTTATAATGCAGAGACACACTGTTTCTCGAATCCTTTACTTATATTACGGCCATGTTCCTCTATTCTTATGTGTAAAGGTCTGGTAGTTTTTCCTATGTAATTTAAACCACAGGGACATCGTAAGAGGTAGATTAAATTTTTTGAGTGCCATGTAATAAACTCTTTAATTTGGTATTCTACACCTTCATTAGTTACAAATTTTTTAATTTGTCTTTTTTTATTATTAGTTCTTTTACAGGCTAAGCATTGTCCGCATCCATAGAACCCCTTTTCTGAATTGAAAAATGTAATATTGTTTTTAGGTTTTTCTTTTATATAGCTTGATGTTAGGGAATCTTTTAGGTTGTTAATTCCTCTATGTATAAAATGTGGCTGGTCTGGCAAAAAGGTTTTTAGAGCGGGGTCTTGGAGTAGAATAGGCCAATATCTAGACACGATTTTTCTAACTTTATGATTCTCAGAACTATAAGTACATATAAAGGGTATTTTACCCATTTCATCTTCCTGTTTTTCCTTATACTTTATAAGGTCTTTCCTTTCTCTTTCTTTAATTTCTAATCTAGATTTTTCTAATTTAGATTCTTCATATCCCTTTTCTAGGAAATCTTCTTTAATTTTAATAGACTGTGCATTAAATGTTTCTATATCAGTGCAATTCCTCCTTATCCTCAAGAATTGTCCTTTAGGAGCATTTTCTAACCACGGGGAAAAATGGCAACTATCTCTGCCTATAAAGCTGTTTGCTTCCACTGCTTTGAAATGGTTTTTCGTTTTAATTAAATTATTTTCAATATATATATGTAGATCTAAAAAGATTATTTCTTGTTTACTCCAAGTACAGGTGAATTGAATCCCCCATGTATTGTTATTCATATGGTTTAAAAAAGAGGAGAGATCTTCCTCTTTTCCTTTCCATATGAAAAACACGTCATCTATATATCGGCCATAGGTGACCAAGTTTTTCCCCCAGTCATGTTGCCCATATATAAAAGAGTTTTCCCAGTGGGCCATAAAAAGATTAGCATAACTGGGGGCAAACTTGGTCCCCATGGCCGTTCCCTTTGTTTGGAGAAAAAATTCTTCCCCATACCAGAAAACATTTTTGGTTAGAATTAATTCTATTCCCTCCATAATAAATTCAATTTTTGTTGGGATAAGGTCTGAATGAATGTCTAGGAAATATTTCACAGCTTCTTTTCCATAGTTGTGTGGGATGTTACTATACAAAGAAGTTACATCACACGTAACAAGAATGCAGTTCTCATCCCACTCACAACTATCTAAAGGTTTTAGTACCATTATGGTGTCTTTTATATATGCCTTCGTTTTTTTGACTATAGGCTGTAAGTGTATATCTACATATTGCGATAGTCTGCTAGACACAGAATCAATACCTGCCACAATAGGCCTTCCAGGGGGATTGGTCGTATCCTTATGGACTTTAGGTAAAAAATAAAAAACGGGGATCTTTGGGAATAAATTATTTAAAAAATTAAACTCTTTTTGATTTAAAATTTCCAAATTTAATCCTTTATTAAAATATGTAGTAAAAACATTTTTTATTTCATTGCTTGGGTCATTGTTTAATCTTTTGTACGTACTTTCATCTTTTAAAATTCTCTCTGCCTCTTTCTGATAAAATTCCTTGGACATTAAGACTATCCCTCCTCCCTTATCTGCAGGTTTTATAATTAGATCTAAATCTTCTTTTAATTCTTTTAATGCCTTTCGTTCGAAACGATGGTAATAACAGAAATAAAAAAATTGGGGAAGAAAGAAGATTCTTATAAGAATTTTAATGAAAATCTAACGACAAAAGAAAGAAAGGCATTAAAAGAATTAAAAGAAGATTTAGATCTAATTATAAAACCTGCAGATAAGGGAGGAGGGATAGTCTTAATGTCCAAGGAATTTTATCAGAAAGTGGCAGAGAGAATTTTAAAAGATGAAAGTACGTACAAAAGATTAAACAATGACCCAAGCAATGAAATAAAAAATGTTTTTACTACATATTTTAATAAAGGATTAAATTTGGAAATTTTAAATCAAAAAGAGTTTAATTTTTTTAAATAATTTATTCCCAAAGATCCCCGTTTTTTATTTTTTACCTAAAGTCCATAAGGATACGACCAATCCCCCTGGAAGGCCTATTGTGGCAGGTATTGATTCTGTGTCTAGCAGACTATCGCAATATGTAGATATACACTGTAGCGGAACGCCAATATTAAATCCACGAATTCCGCTGGTCCAGAAACAAATCCACAGTCAAGCGCTGAAAATACCAAGGCAATATCCCCAACCTCCCAATAACCGGACGAGACACAGTTTTGGGAGTCAACTGACAATCCTTTAATCGGCACGACAATTTATACAAGTCCCCATGCAAGGGGTTTCCTGAGTCCCTTCCCAGGGGCGCTCCCAGAGGGGACTACATGGGGGACTTACAGTATAACATATTTCTCCCATCAGGCACCGCTGCACGAGAGGGATCATCCTCCCAGAATGCACCGTTAAGGGGATTATCCCCTCGTGCAGCAGAACCGGCAATTCATATAAAAATGCATAACTTTTAAAATACATGGTGGACTTACACGAATGGACGTTCGGTAGTTAGCTGGGGTCTGGGCGCATCATTCGTGAGATTGCCGCTCAGATCCCAGCCAAAATAACCGAACGCCGCACAGAAAACACATTTCTTACAAAACCCACAAAAAGAACCGATTGCTTTGGGTGAACCTGGTCCTGAAACTCCCGAACGTCTGGGAGGCTCAGCGGTGTTCGTGCCGTCGAATAACTATTGGTAATGTTATGCGTTCGACGACACGGACCCGCTGAAGAACAAGGGATCCAAGATGGCCGACCGCCGCATGGTCGGTAGTCGAACGACGGCCACCCAGGAGAGCCTCTAATAACCGATTGCAACAATGTTGCAATCGGTTAACTAGCGCCACACCCTTCTAAGTGTGTGGGCTATTAGGGGGTATCGCGTTCGGTTCACGAACGGCTTTTTAAAGTGCCGTTCGTGAAACGAAGGAAAATCCCCATACAAAACCGCCATTTGCATTCGGCGGAACAGCAGTACAGGCAATACAGAGAATACATTAACATCTACATAAGAATCAACCGCATATCTCCACAGACTTGTAGGCAACCCTTAAAGGCACAGTCTCTAGTTATTGTCCAAGTGGCTAGGTTTGCCACAATGCTCCCCCAGAACCAAGCCGGCATACACAGTCTGATCCCAACGGATCGGCTTGGGGATGTCCGGAGGAGTGCTCACAGATCCTTTCTCAAGGTCTGTTTGTCTGGACAACCCGTCGGCATTACCGTTTTGTTTCCCTGGGCGGTAGTGAATTGTAAAGTCAAAGGGCTGCAGCGCCAAACTCCAGCGCAGCAGCCTGGCATTGTCTCCAGCCACACGGTTTAGCCACACCAACGGGTTGTGATCTGTGAGCAAAGAAAAGGGTTGCCCATAGAGATACGGCTGTAGCTTTTTCAGGGCCCACACCACGGCCAGGCATTCCTTTTCTATGGCGGCGTAGCTCACCTCTCGGGGTAACAGTTTCCGACTCAAGTATGCTACGGGGTGTTCTCCGCCATCGGCTCCGACCTGGCTCAGTACTGCTCCCAATCCAAACATTGAGGCGTCTGTGTGAACAAGAAAACGTTTAGTTGGATCAGGAGCAGCCAGTACAGGGGCATTGGTCAGAGCCGTCTTCAGCTGATTGAATGCCTGTTCACACTCTGGGGCCCAGACGACCTGCCGGGGCAGGTTTTTCTTTGTCAAATCAGTCAGGGGTTTGGCCAGGGCACTGTAGTTGGGTACAAACTTTCTGTAATACCCTGCGGTACCTAGGAAAGCCAGGACTTGGGTTTTGGTCCTAGGGGTAGGCCACTGGGCTACAGCTTCAATCTTTGCGGGCTCAGGCTTCTGCTGCCCGCTACCAACCCGGTGTCCTAAGTACTGGACCTCTGCCATCCCTATGTGGCATTTGCTGGGTTTCAAGGTAAGCCCTGCCTCTCGGATCCGATCTATTACTGCCCCTATGTGTTGTAGGTGCTCCGACCAGGTCTGACTGTATATGGCAATATCGTCCAGATATGCACACGCATAGTCCTGGAACCCGTCCAGTAGCCGATCCACCATCCGCTGGAAGGTCGCGGGGGCGTTCTTCATCCCGAATGGCATGACTCGAAATTGGTACAAGCCAAACGGGGTGACAAACGCCGACTTAGGGATGGCGTCCTCGGCTAGTGGAATTTGCCAGTATCCCTTACACAAATCTATGGTCGTGAGATACTGACCCCTGGCCATCCTATCCA